CCCCAAAACCCCAAAACCCCAAAACCCCAAGAGAATCTAATTTTACCTATCTCAAAAATTAAGAAATAAAAATTATCTTTCATAAATTATTCTAATCTCCTTTAAATCTAGATAAAGGCTCTAATTTTTCAAGTTATTTCTTGCTAGAATAGATATTTTAATCTTCTCGATTGTCATTTTGTGCTTCAGAAAGGGATTTTTAACTGCAATAATTGTCCTAAAGAAAGTCATTTATTGCTTGATGCTTATTTGTGTTATTAGAAATGACTGATTAATATTGCTACTCTATGCCATAATTATTAATAAATTTCTTTGGCTACTTTTATGAGTTAATTGACCCATTTTCTCTCAATGAATTGTTTCCACTGCTGCTAAATTGCTTTTATTGAGTTCTGGAATTATTTATTTATTCTTATTCATTTTAGGTCTAATTCTTGCTGGGAATCTTTACAAATTTCCTCTATTTCATAATGCTAATTGAGGTTCCCTATACAATTTATTATTAAGGGTTAAATATAAGTCTGCTCATTTTAGTTATTTAGGCATTTTGATTCAGCATATGCTGCATATATAAAACCTGTTATTGTTTGACTCTTCCCCCTCCTCTCTTAGCAGATTTGCTTTATATCTTTCTATCAATCGGAGAAATTTTTTGATTCAAAGCAAATTTATTACTTTAATACTAAATTGTCCCTTGTACATTTTTTTATCCAGATGATATTTCACTTTTTATGTGAATCTATGGACCATTAAGTTCAGAATTCATCAAGCTAGAAACTCCAACTGAGGTCTTTGGAGATGTTTACTAATTGATATTCTGATACTCAACCTAGGTGCCTGAAGTTTTGGGCCTCTTATTTAATCATTTTTAGTTTTCAAATTACACCAGCATCTGCTTCAGTGGCCTAGAGCCATTTTATTCTGATCTTTAAAATTACTAATTCATTGTTTCAACAATGCTGCTTAAACTTTCAGCTTTAGAGGTAGCATTATATGTAAAATTAGGTTCATTGTCTGAGTATGCTATCTCAGCTTTTTATTTCTGTTTATATTGAGATTTTAATTACTCCTGATTGGATTAGCTTGTGACAGCTTAGTCTAAAGATGATCTTTTATTAACAGGTTGTTTTTACAAACTTTTTTAATCTGAGTCAACTTACTTTTTTTTCTTCTAGTTACTATTATTGACATTCAGAGTACTGTTTCAGCTTTCTGTTTCTTCCTCTTAAACAATATCCATAAAAGTATTATTTCCAGAAGTTTATTGTTCATTATAGAGGCTCGAATCTATATCTGATTGATTGATGTTAAAGAATTTTATGCAATAACGAACTATAGGTCTTATCAAGTGGCTAAAATTTGGTTCTAGGTATTTTGACTTTTCCATAAATATCATGCTTTTAAATATCTTGACCATCTATCAAGCCCATTTATTCTCATCAAATCTTATGAATACTGAACTTTTGCTACTAGATGAGTTTACCTTTTAAATGTTTAGATATGATTCATCCTTTACTGAGATACTGGGAGCTTCATTCTCTTTGGATCTATTTGTTGATAGTTCAGGTGTGTCGTCTCTGACACTATTATTTAGAAACTATCCAATATCATGGTATGGAATTGTTGATGCAATTTTGGATGTCAATAGCTAGATAAGTTTGGCAAGCATTTTATTATAAAAAGCTTCCTGTTTTCGTGTGGCAAAACCACTATAAACAGACATTTTAATTTATAATTCCAAATAAATTATTAATAAGAGGATTAAGTAAATGAAAAAATTGGATTAATAGTAGAAGCAGCCTCAAAGAAAAGGTTGGAATAATCAAATAAAATAATTATAGGCTCAGTAGTAAAATAACCAACTGTGACAAAATCGAATATAGAAAAGTTCAAATCTACAACAGAGACGGTGAAATCACTATAGAAAAAAGAAGTTGCTGTAAGATTGACAAATAAGCAATAAAAAGCAATGGAAGATAAAATCAAGAAGGATATAACTAGATTAATGAAAGAGTATGACTTAAAAGAACAGCAAGAAAAGAATATACAAAGAGAAGGATTAATTCTTCAATCTTAAAATAGTCAGATATCGTAAACAACTCAAGATACTCTCTAACAAGATGAAGTAAATGATTAATAACTGGAGATTTAATATACCAAAGAAATGATGGAAGCCTGTCAAGAATGTAATATGTTTAAGTTCAGATAATGCCTTAAATAAAAAGACAAAATATACCTCTACTACACTGATGAAAAAGGTAACAGTTTCTTGCATGTCTTGTGTGTAAAACCTGAGAAAGAATCTTTCTACATTGTAGAAAAGTTTTTAGACTAATTTAGATTCCACCTGGATATTAAAAATAAACAAGGACTGACTCCCGTATTTTTAGCTGCAATTAACAGAAATCATAAAATAGTAGAATTTTTGATATCTAAGAAGGCAAATTTGGTTGTTTATGACAGAGAAAACAAAAGTATGCTGCATCACGCTATAATAAACTCTGATTTCAATCTATCTAGTTTATTGTTCAAGTATGATTAGTTCTACAGAAAGCCAAAGCTGATGGAAATTGGAGAAGATGTTTGGCGAAGTCCATTTGAAATTGCAGTTCAGGAATTTAAATTTTGGGCTATTGATAAAATTTATGCCAATTACTAGAAAGAGTGCCTGCTATAATTATACGAGAAGAGAAAAGATGAAGAATTCATGGCTAAATGGAATTCCTACTTAATATGGGCTTCATATGTGCCATTGTTATATGTATGGAGTAAAAAAACTCACAATATCTCAAAGATTCCTAACTACATACTTAAAGAGATCATCAAGTATTACTGAGGACAACGAATAGGAAATATCATAATTTCCTTGTGATTGATTGAAAACTAAATTTTAAATCAAATAGAACTGATGAAAATTTTTAAATACCTTAATATTTTTGTCAGATTAAAACCACTATAAATTGAATTAAATTTAAAAGTTATAAATATAAAGAGTATGTAAAGCAAAAAATAGAAAGTGCCAAACTCAGTATTGTTTGACATTCTCACTTATTTAGACTACAAAGATTTGTTCTGTAAAGGAATGAATACACTTTGCAAGTCAATTTCTTACAGCGAGTACTTTACAGAATACATTTATAGTACCATGGTTATGAGAAAACTAGGTATCATTGAGGATATTTAGTTTGAGATAGACTACTACAGAAGTGTTATGGATATCAAAGAGCAAATATCTATTGACCAAGTCTAGTTAAACTATAGAAGGAGAGAGAAGCAAGTTTATCTTGATTACTTTAGAAATTACCCTAGGAAAAAGTCTAAAATATAATACTTGTTTGGCTATCAATCAATTGGAGGTTTAGAGGAATAAAGTTTTGAACATCCTGAAGATAGGATTGGTGGCATCATTCATTTATTTGTTGACAGTGATGAGGTTTATTGTTCATCAGATAAATGTGATCCCTGTATTACCTCAGGAATCTTTTTTGAAGAGCCTAAAGTCGATTTTGATGAGTGGGAGTATTTTATATAAGTTTTTGACAGAATAAACGAAATCAGTAAAGCCATTGGCTATAAAGTATTAGATTAAAATGATAATGAAAACTAAGAATAACATAATCAGAGATTATTAAACATGGCTAGAAGATGCAATTTCATAGATTTTAGACTCAAGCGTAGACTTATCGATGGAATTAAGGAGAACATAATAACTAATTCTAGATTTGCTCTTCCTCTTGCAGCCTTAATTAGAGAGTTGATTTTTAAAAGTACTAAAAACTTACCAACTAAAAATGCTCAGGAACTAATATAATTAGACATCAAATTTCACAAAATACTTTCAGCAAATTAACTGTACAGCTTCCATCGAATGTACATTGTTAATAAGGGTCCATTCACCTGTCCTGCAAGATCATTTTTTGTATTTACACACAACTAGGATAACATTGACTTGAAAAATCACCCACTTGTACAATATCTAAAAGATGTTAAAACTAAAGACCAGCTTATCTAAAAATTAGTAAACAGTAAGGCTGATTAAGCAATGATAAAGACACTTCTACCCAATCATTTTGAAATCACAGGTAGACAATATGATTTGGTGGAATTCGGACACAGCTTTTATTATGATAAATTCTAGGAGAAATAAGCTGTTGATTCATTGAGAGAACTAGATGATTACAGATTAAGACTTTGTGCCTTTGCTGATTTGAAAGAATGCCAGAAGTAATGGATACCATTCAGCTAATTCTTTTCTGGCAGATATGTAAGTGTGATGTTCACAGATAGAGTGATTAACGAAGATACAGATGAATATCTCAACTATGATGTCTAGACTATATATTTTGATGGTTTAATCATACCAAGTCTATTGAACTTTTAATTGTGAGATGTAATGCTAGGATTATTGATAAATGATTTCTTAATATTTTTAATCTTTTAAATAATTGGAAATAATTTTATAACCCATTGACTCATTTA